ATATATATATTAAAAGTGCTGGGAATGTAGGTCCGTGGTAAAGTTCCCCTGGGTTCAATCCCCACCCCACCCCACCCCCATGTATACAAACAGCCATCACCGTAAAGCTCAAGGAATTCTTTTTGCTACAAATGTGTGCTGTCAAGATTTAGGAAGATTTTTTTGCCAGATTTGAGAGAAAGGGGTAGGTTTGAGCTTTCACTGTTAATGAAGTTACTGATGATGCTTAGATTTACTTTCCTTAAAAAGTACCATGTTTTTATTTAGCGACTAAGAAGGCTATCTTTATTTTGTCTAGGGAATTTTAGTTTTAACATGATAACATTCCAACATGTTAAATATTGATGCTTAAAACAATTCCTTTGCTGCCATCTCTTTCACTGAAAAAATTTTTAAGTATAAATTTAAAGTTGAAAGCTAGCTTAAATTCTAAGGCTGATCAAGTACTTAATTATTAACACAAGTTGCCAATCTTCATTTTTTTAAAGGAATTGTTACATTGTTTTTTTTAAATTAAAAAAACATTAGTTGCTGATAGACCCTGTATTTTATTTATTTACACGTGGTGCTGAGAATTGAACTCAGTACCTCACACATGCCAGGCAAGTGTGCTACCACTCAGCTCCAACCCCAGCCCCAGCCCCAGAATTGTTACATTTTTAATAACTTAAAAAATCATAAATACTAGTTTATTTGGTTTTTAGAACCATCGGTCTTTATCAGTTTTTTATTTAAATTCCTATTATGAATTGATAAAATATTAATAATAATAATTATTTATTATATACATTGGTTTTCAAGTACTTTGTAGAATGTATTGGAAGCATTGGTCTTAGAATAATCATGAAAGTAACCCTGTTTCTACCATGATTACTCCTTCTGCAATTATCAGTAGTACCTAAGAGTGTTTGACTAGAGTTGTTTAATCTTCATAACAGCTAAGGGATTTTTGAAGCCCTTTTCAAAGAGAGAACCCAAAGTTTAGCCAGGGTAAATGTCCCGTGACCCTGAGACTTACATCTGCTTCCTTTGACCTAGCACTAGAGTCCTGTGTATAAATGTGATCCCTGAAAAAGCAAGTGTAATGACAGTTTTCGGGGAGGAGGTTGAGGAATAAGTATAGCTACCCAACTCTCTAGGGAAAGATTAATAGTGTAAATATAAAAATCTCATTTAATGTTGGATAAGCTTTGGAGCGATTTTCAGCTTTCAGTTACCTATAACTGTCTAAGTTAGTTCATGACTTCTGTACATTTGACAGTGATAGTGTGCTATAAAGTTGCACATTATGTAGTTTTAAATGTATTCAGATAATCGCCTGAGTAACCTGATCAATTTATATATTTTTTTAGAGCCTGTAGATTTTAATTATTCCTAAGAAAATTCTGTTTTCAGGTTTAGGTTGTCAGAAACAAGGAGCGTAAAGTAAACTATGTTTGGGTTTCCTGGCAAAGCCTCTGGTTCATCATCATTCATATTCTGCTGCTGCTTCCATTTTATGTGTGCTACATAAATTTTTCAGCCATTTGGAATTTTCATAGATAATGGTGTCAAGACATAGTCTCTGGCTGACTGGGCCTTTGCAGTTTACATTGTACTGTGTACTTTATTGCCTTTTCAGCTATCTGTTTTAATTATCAATGTTTTCTTTTCTTTCTACTCTGCCACCAAAAGAATCTTTGGCTGCTCCTGACCTCAGCAAATCAAGAGGTGATTTATGCATGCCAGTTGTTCATTGATAATCACTAAAAGTTATTGGTAATCATTTGACCCCAGTGCTGACTTGCTTCACTTGGTTGCTCAGTGTTTTCAGTAGCAACCAAATCTGCGTTTGTTGTGCACTGCTTTCTAAGCACCGCATTGCCTAACCTTTTCCTAGTTATCAAAAGGATTTTTAAAAATCCTAAGGGTGGAGTGGGTAACCCAAAATGAGAAGGTTTTATTTAAAAAAAATAATTATAATGATACTTTTATATAATCAAACAATCCTTAACCCTTTCAAAAATAGCAAAGATTGGTTGTTGTAGTCTACCAAAAACTGTTCTGTTTTTCAAGACTTGTTGTAATTTTGCTTGATTTGGAAGCATGCTTTGAAACATATGTGTGCTACCATAATTTATTGTTTTCCTGAGGCTAATAAAAAATAGTACTGCTTTTAAATATTACACTAAGTTATTGTAAAGGAAGCTTATTTTCTAAACTTAGCACATTGAAGGATACTTTTATTATTTTGACAAGTTAGTATTAACTAGTATTAAGACAGAACTAACTCATACTTTCTTCATTCAGAACAATGATTTCTAAATTGCACAAAGTAGTTTGAAAGGGTGATGGAATTGTTTGTAGAAAAGTGCATGTAATTTGGATGCTACATGTTGTTTTTCTTAGAACTTTTTTCATGTCTTTGAATGTTAGGAGTGTGTTAAAACTACGAGTTCATATTTTAGAAAGAGAACCATGTTCATAATGATCTTCGGAGTTGATTCGGGGTGGGGCACTGTCTTCAGGGCAAAGATGGGTTTCCAAAGTGATGAGCTTTGAATGAATGCATAAATCGTTTTGCATCTCTGTGTCTTTGAAACATTGAGCCCTTTTTCCAAATCACAAAATCTAGGAGAAAACACATTGAAATCTCTTGTTTTCTTTTCTACCAAGGGTACCACTGGGATACATCAGATTGGATGCCAAGTGTTCCTCTGCCAGATATACAAGAGTTCCCCAATTATGAGGTTATTGATGAGCATACACCCCTGTACTCAGCAGATCCAAATGCCATCGATACAGACTATTATCCTGGAGGTTACGACATTGAAAGTGATTTTCCACCACCTCCGGAAGACTTCCCTGCACCTGATGAACTACCACCATTGCCTCCAGAGTTCAGCGATCAGTTTGAATCTATACACTCACCTAGAGACATGCCTGCTGCAGATAGCTTGGGGTCTTCATCCAGAAATCGGCAGAGGTTCAACTTGAATCAGTATCTGCCCAATTTCTATCCTGTCGATATGTCTGAACCTCAAAAAAAAGGCACTGGTGAGAATAGTACTTGTAGAGAACCCTATGCCCCTTACCCTCCAGGGTATCAAAGAAACTTTGACTCCTCCACTGTAGAAAACATGCCCATGTCTGTGTACGCTTCCACAGCTTCCTGCTCTGATGTGTCAGCGTGCTGTGAAGTAGAGTCTGAGGTCATGATGAGTGACTATGAGAGTGGAGACGACGGCCACTTTGAAGAGGTGACGATTCCTCCACTGGATTCTCAACAACACACGGAAGTCTGACACTCAAACTTCCCCCCAAAGTGCCTGACTTTATCAAACCTAGAGATTATATCAATAATCTGCATTGTTCTTTGCAGCAGTGCTTAAGCGCTTTTTTCGGTGAGCTAGAATGGGCATGGCTGCACTGAATCCTGCGCTTCCTGATGTTAGCCATTTCCCGTGTCCTAACCCACTGTAATTGGACGAGATTTCATTGGCTGTGCCATTTCTGAACATCTTTTTTTGTATTTACATTTGTCTGTTAAAATAATGAAGCGAAAATAAGTCCTACCATCTTGTTAGCATGGTTCATGTATTTATATAGATTTGATTATTTTAATTTTCCTTTCTCTTTTTTTGTAAATTTTATGTACAGATTTGATTTTTCATAGTTTTAACTAGACTTTGGAGACACTCTGTGCATTTGTTTTCAGCTGAATTTTGGTGGTATTAAGTGTCATTACCTAGCACCCTGATTCTTTACTATAACCAGGGTTTCACTATATGTTCTTTTCCACTGAAGTGTGACATTTCATTAACACATTTCAATATAGTCATTTATTTCTAGCTGTACATACAGGATGAGGGAAAATATGATACATGGACATGTCTTAAATGGGTTGCTGTATTTTAGAATTATAAACATTTTTCATTATGGAAAGTGTAATGGGGACCTTCTGCAGACCTGTTTAGGACCAAAACCACCATGACACAGTTTTTATAGTGTCTGTATATTTGTGATGCAATGGTCTTGTAAAGGTTTTTACTGAAAACTACCATTAGCCAGTCTTTCTTACTGACAATAAATTATTAACAAAATACTTTAGCTTTATTGCCTGTTTTTCCTCTGTATTTGTATTTCTGTTCAGGATTCAGTTGATGAATTGAGAAAAGCATGGATATAACGTTATTTGTTCTCTAGCTTAAGGAAAAGCCTCTTTCCAGGTGCCAAAACCCGGCAGTACTTAGAGATCTAGCCACTAGGTGGCAGTATATGGCTATTAAAGCCTAATTTTTCTATAATGAATTCTTACTAAAACTTTTAAGAATTTTTTTTAGTCTTGAACGTATTAATAATTATTCATCATGATTTAAAAGCACATTTTTTATTTTTTCAATGATATGTATCAAAAATTCTTTATATAAAGCATTTTATCTTTCTGTTGTCAGAAACCTTATACTCAAGATTTCATGTGAAATACTGCAGCTGTTTTCCATGTGTCTCTATGCAGTCAAAATTCATCCATTCACCCAGAAGGTGTTTATGGAGTACTCTTCCCAGTCACTGTGATACAAATAACAAAGAATCTAGCTTTCTTAGAACTTTGGAGAGCCATCATTTTTCCTTTTAAGTAGAGGCCCTGCTTCACTTTTATCAAATGATATGCATGCAGTTTAGAACATCTACAAGAGCTGATGTATGAAATGAAACAGCAGTCCTATGCACTCTACTGACATGACTTAACAATTTTAAGCTATTTCCCCCTCTCCTATTTTCAAAAATATGTATTATTTCTTGAATCACTAAATTTAGAAATTGCCCATTGCCTCTGTTTGATGTTGGAGGATGACTGTATAACCTAACAAACCTCCATTACTCTTGTTAGTCTTCCATTAGAAAGGAATTCTTAGTTGTGAGTACCGCATGATTTTTGGATTAATCTGCACAGTGTTTTCATTATTTCAATTGCATAAGTATTTACTGCTGAACTAATGTGTGATGTCAGATTCCATTGACTTTGAAACTTTATCATTCTTAAACAGTTGACTTAATTTTTTTTTAAAACGTGACCATTCATTTAAAAAATGTTTTTTGGTCCCCTACCATATACTGTTCTGTTAAAACAAGTCAAAAATTCCCTACCTTCATGGGACTTACATTTGGTGGGGACAGGTAGTGGTCAATAAGTATAATCTATAATATTACATGGAGTGATGAGTACTAAGAGAAATTTGGATTGGGGAAGCAAATGTCTCTAGTGGGGAAAAAAAGGAAACAGTTTGGGAAACCATCTATGACAAGCTGACATTTGAATATAGTCCTAAAATTGATGAAGAGAAATGATATGGCTCTCGGAAATGAGCATTCCAGGCAGAGAGAATAGCTAGGATCCAATCCAAGGTGGGAATGTCAATAGAAGGTCAAAGTAAGAAACAAGTATGACTCATGTAAAATGTCTCTGAGTCTGTGCTAAAACTACTAGAAAAACTGTCAGTTCCTTTTGTTGGCCGCCTGCCTCATACAGCCCTTCTCCCTGGGGCCCAATCCCTCTGGAATGTCTGCCGCCCTGGAACTTCCCTTTGTTGTCTGGATTGTTCCACTGTGGACTCCTGTGCCTTTCTTTTAGCTTAATGCTTGTTTTGATAGAACACATCCTGATTATTTCTGAGAATGAGTGCATGGGAGATAATTTTTATGCATGTGACTTTATATTTCTGAAAATGTTCTTATCGTACTCCCATGGTTGATTAATAAACAGATGAGGTATAGATTTTTGATTTGGGGGTACATATCATTCAGAATTCTGAAGTCATTGAATCGCCGTCTTCCGCTTCCAAAGTTTCCACTGAATTGCCCATTCTCATTCCCTGTTTATTGTTTGTGACGCAATATTATTCTGGCAAATTTTTGGGATCTTCTTTTTGGAACACCCTTTTTCCTTTCCAGTGTTGTGGGATTTCCTGAAAACATATCTTGATGTGGGCCTTTTCTCTTCCATTGCACTGGGTACTCATGTTTAATTGTGGGAATCCACATTTGGGGGAATGTGTTATTTCTTTGATAGTTTTTTTTTTTACGTGTTTTCTCAGTCCTCTTTCTGAGACTTGTAACTATATACTATATGACTTGCTAGACTGATCCTCTTTTTTTTAATTGAATTCTAACTTCCCATTTTTATCTTTTTGCTCTACTTCCTAAAAGATCCATTCCACTTTTATCTTCCATTCCTTCTGTTAAAAATTATATTTCAACTCACATATTTTTGAGAGTTTGATCTTGTTCTGATTATCCCAGGCATTTTCCCCTCTATTACTTGGACCCCTGGTATCTCATTTTTCTAATTGTAATATTTTCAGAGTAATCTCCCTGTTTACCTGCTTCTCCTCTGAGTGGCTTTCCCCCTTCCTTTTGATTGGCCTTGAAGTCCTTGGCACTTGGAAGCTTTCCTCTGAGCTGTTGAAAGCTGCAGGTGGAGCTTGCTAACTCCTGGGCTTCCCTGCAAGGAGGCTGTTTGCTTTGCCCATTTTCTGCAGGTCTTTTCCTTGAAGAGACAGGTTTCTCTAGAGGAGGGGAGGAATCCTCTTCTCCCAGCCTGAGAAATGTGGCTCTTTGAAGTCAGCTACGGGAAATGAGGGTGTTATCATTCACTTCCTGTTTGCTTCACTTTGCCCTTTGTCTCCAAATCAGCCCTGGAGAGAGCAGAGAATCCAGGTCTACCTGCTTGAGTATTACAGCCTACTACACCCTGCTGTTCCTCTTCCCATTGTGCGTAACAAATTGACCTGTTAACAAGGCCTTCTCCACCTCTACCTGTGGTCCATTTGGAGTTGACAATACCTCTTGGTTGCATTAAAAGTGGAGTTTGCTTTTTTTTTTTTTTTTTAAAGCTCTGTCCTTTTTCTGTTCTGGATTTTTTTTAAAAAAATCATTTATTTTAAAACTTTGTTGTTGGATGACTTTCAAGAAAAAAAGGGGGGCAGAGATTTTAATACTCTACCATCTTAAACTGAAAGTCTGTAATAAGCTCTTAACTATCAGTTTCTAGTTCCAGAAAGAACTGATATATGAATTTTCTATCGCACCATAGCAAATGAGCATACATTTAGTGGTTTAAAATTACCCCTCTTTATTAGCTCTAGTTTTGCATATAGAAACCCTGGCATGGTGTGACTGGGTTCTCTGCTCAGTCTCACTAGACTTAAGTCAAATTTCTAGCTGGTCTGTGGTTTTGCTGAGGTCTTATGTCACGGGAGAAGAGATGTCTCTGGGAAAGGGCCCAAGGAGTTCCCAGAGGGGAGAGAGACCCTACTGGTCCACTCAGGACCAGTAGGGTTCTTAGCATAAGTGATGGAAAAGAATTTCAGCACAAGTCAGACAAAGACTCAGGTTTATTCAGGAAGGCAGATAAACATTTAAGGGAGAATGCAGACTTGTCTCAAGCGAGAAGCAGCCCTGACTTGGGCCGGGGTCCAATATTTATAGAAGAGCTGTATTGAGGGCTGGACTGGGGGTGGATCCTGGGTGGAGCTGCACAATGTCATGCTAGTTTTCCCTGCGCTTGAGTATTTCCCTCATTTTACAAGGGCATATTGTTCAAGATTTACAACTATGTTTTCTATGTCTCCGTGGCTTGTGGGTGTTTTCTTTAAGATTCAGTATTTCTCTCTCTCTATCTAATCCCTATCTCAGGTCCACTCCAAGCTCTCAGGGTTGTTGGCACAAGTTGGTTCCTTGCAATCGTAGAACTGAGGTCCTCTTTTCCTGCTATCTGGCCTGAGGTTCCCTCTTCCTTGACAGCTTCTTTGCTTGGGTTTTGGCCCTCTCACAACATGGAAGCTTGCAACACACTTAAGTATGTACAAGATTTCACCTGCCCGAGTCAGGTGGTCCACCCAAAAGATCAGAAATCTTCCTTTGGATTAACTGAAAGTCAGCTGATTAGTGTCCTAATCCAGGAATTCCCATCACATTCACAAGTCACATCCATACCCGTGGAGGTAGTTATACCAGGTCCCCAGGAGTCATCTTAGAATTCTACTATCACATTGGACACTGTTATTTTTTCTTATTTCTTTTTTGTTTGTTTTTGGCAATACTTTGAACTTCTAAATAAACAGATGGCATTTTAAATTGAAGACTATTTGCATTGTATTTCAATTTTTAAATATAGCATCTTTTGAACTAATCTAAAGTGACTAAACAATTTGAAGTCTCAAAGTCATTCTTAAAACCATTCCTTTAACAAACTATATGCATTACCATTGAACACTTATGGGAGAGTCAAAGCAATCACATACAATTAGTGCATTCTCCTAGTGTCTCTTCCTAAAAGCCATATCTCAATATCCCTTGATAAGGGAAAGTCAGGGTCTATCAAGTGTTCCCCTCCCTAGATGTCATTTTTACTTATTTGCTGGATGCCCATTTAAAAGTCCCTTAGAAAAATAAATAAATAAAATAAATAAATAAATTACCCAGTTATAGCAACAAAAAAATAAGAGGAACTCAGGTACCTTAGAAATTTTGCAGAGCTGCTTCAGTGTTTTTGGATATTGCTAATGTCATTTTTCAAGACAAATTACTATTGGTCACAGTCTTTATGTGCTACCACTGGAAATGATGGGTCAGTTTAAAGAACTTTACGGGTTAAATAGCTGTTAAGGGGAAAAGTGCTAGTAAACATCTGAACTTCTAAATTTCTATTTGTGAAAAAAAAATTTTAATTCTACCTCCTAAAAGTTAAAATTGAGGTGTGTTTCCGTTTTGGATTTGTCTGTCTGATGGGAAGAATAAAGTTACTTTAGATGATGGTGCTTATCATACTCATTTTTTTTTAAAGAGAGAGAGAGAGAATTTTTAATATTTGTATATTAGTTTTCGGCGGACACAACATCTTTGTTTGTATGTAGTGCTGAGGATAGAACCCGGGCC